TATGGCAGTTGACCAGCGCATCCGCCGGTTCAGCCGCCACGTTTCGTTGCCCTTAGTTATTTTCATCATTTTTTTTTTTGCTTTTTTTTTATTATTTTTCGTCCTTGCACGCTCTTCTGTTTGACTTTCATAAAGTTTTAACGACTTTTGCCTCTGCTGTCATAGCTCAAAATGTCTTACATGTGCAGCAGCCGCAGCAATATATATATATATAAAAAAAAAAATAAACAAATAAAAAAATAAAATATGAAATAAGAGGAAGAGAATGAAAGAGCAAAAACTTGTACAACTTTCTACTTATACTCGTAAGTAATTTTGCAGCAGTCTTCTCTGGGCATTTACTTGGATCGCCTTTCGTCAGCTGCGACGTACTTGAGTTCGCTTCATTTCAGCAACATTTTCTTGACCCCCCCCACCGCCACAAATACCCTTCGTTCACCACATGCTGCTCAATTGGGCGTCCACAATAAGTTGCAATCTCATCGAAGATCCAGCGCTAAACGCTCCTTAAATGCTTTGCCTACAATCTGGACATGTTGACCAAGTTCCACGGCTGCTGGGCAAATGCGCTGAAAAACAATTACGAATTACATGGATTCCGCTATGATTGCAAGAATCTGTTATTTTTTAAATTATATATTCAGATATATAGCTGAGTTACATTAATAACTCTTCGACTATCGCTGAAATTGATCATCGAAATAGGACTATATTTGTGTTAATAGTTCGTCATTACAGGGTATACGAGTATTGTCTTTTATGTTATGATGTTTTACAGCCCAAGAGATTGCCAAGTAATGCCTGACATTTGCCTGGGCAGATTTGCCATATTGTGATTTTGGAAGATTCAATTCGGCCAAGAAAAAATATTAAAATTACAAATTCTTTGTGCGTTGATTTGGTACAAAAGGAACAACCAAGTTTAACTTTTAACATTCGTTCGTACCTAAAACTCGTTGCAACTATAGCATATCAAAAATTAAATGATATATACACAAAAATGAGATGGTATATACCATATTTATGATATATATAAGCCGCTTGATTGATTCTATTTTGGAAATTGATTTTCTAAAAATATGCTTTTTGTTGCTTACTTCACACATTATTTGCTAATTTCGATGCAAGAATGGGTTATATTATTTTCTTTTAAATTTTTCATTTCAACTTTTATTATCTTCAATATTTTAAAAGAGTCTCGACTGGTCTAAATAAATGTAGCCTATTTTCTAATTACAACAATCATTATTAAATATATATATTGGTTACGAACTAAACACACCAATTCTTAAGTGGCAATTTGTATCAGAAACATAGTTTGAATTGGAAAGCTTATCCCAAATAAAGTTGCGCTGTCTCGCATAGTCAACAACTGCAATTACATCGAGTCCTTTGCTCTGGCAAGGACTTAAGCTCAAGCGGCTGCTGCTAAATGCAGCTTATAGTCTAAAGTATAGGATAAATTGAAACCAAATATGTGACAATTTCAGCAGGATTTCAAATTAAATTTGACATAATTTATAATGCTTAACCAACACGAACACCCACACACACGGACTCACATACACGTGTCGGTTAAGCTGTATAAATATACAAACAGCAAGAGCTACGGATATGCCAGTGTGGTCACACATTCATCATCTATTTATATAACCGTATGACAAGCGCCCTCCCCCCCACAAAGCCTCTTGCAGAACCCCAACGTGCGTCCTTGTTGCATATTGGTTGACCCAACGAATGCTGCGACTCTGTGTATGCGTATGTGAATGCACGTGTGTGTGTGACTTTGGTTTTGGTTGATTTCCGGCTGGAGCCCCTGGTAGCCTACTAACCTCAATAATGTGAGAAGGGTTCATGCTTGGAGCAGGTTTGGGTGGCAGGATGCGTCGGTAGTCCTGTCGGCCAAGTATTTTGCAATTAGTCAATGCTCGTGGCACAGTTTTGCCGCCTGGCTGCCTTTGGCCACAAATTAAATCATATAAATGGACAATTATTTAATGTCGTGGGGCTGGGTAAGCGGGGCGCGGCGCTGCATGCAAAAGCAACAATAAATCAATTGGCGGGAAAATGGGGAAATGGAAAATGAGCTGCGTTGCGGATCGACTTGAAAATTGTGTAAATAAATGTAAATTAAAATGCATAATTTATGTGCAAACGCAATTTATTTATAAAGCGACACATTAAAACGCAAAGATAATGCGGCGACTGCGGTGTCTCTGTTCGGGTGTGTGTGTGCCTGGGTGGGCGTCTGCTGGGCGTGGCAGCAAGTCAATTGCTCATTTGGTTTTGGCAGCACGCAGCTGCTGGCCGCAAACAACAATGCGAGTGGTCCCAACTGACCAATGAATGCTTAATGTCTGTGTGCCACTGTGCTCTGTGGGCATTAGTCGCTGCTAATTGTGTGTGCCACTGTGTGTGTGTGTGTGTGTGCGTGGTTGTGCGTGTGTGGCAGCTGCTTATCAGCGCTGTGCGCGTCCAGGACTTAACTGGAAGTTCGCTTATCGGCCACATTTGAGCCCTTGGCGCGGTCAGCATTCGTAATTATATAATATGCCATGTCACACACACACACACACACATACACACACACACACACACACACACACAGACACGCACACACACAGTGGCTTGTGAGCAGTTGGTAATTCAATCGAAATGCCAAAGTTACGAACAAAAGCTGCAATATTGTAAAAATGCATAAATAAATTCTTTTTTTTTTTAAAGCGTCAGGTGAAACAATTGGAAAGGTAAATCAAGGAAGGGGTGGGTGGATGGATGGGGGTCAGCGACCAGGGGGCAAGGCGCTGTGGCAGCCAAGTGAGTGTAACTTGAGCTTAGCAGCTCATGAATATTGTGCTCATGCAAACGGGTAACGAGCTGTCAGAGATTAAGTTGCAAGCGTTACTTTTTATTATATTTACCAGGGCGGTGGATTGCTGCCGGAATGAGGGGGTCAGCGGGAGGCAGTTGCCTGTCGCTAGCTGCCCAGATAAGGGCGCAAAATATAACATTTTGCATATGCTTACAGCTGGCGCGGGGAGGGGGAAGGAATTGTGAAGGGGTAGCCTAGGGAGCCAAGGCAAAATCGTTTTGACCAGCTCGCAAACAAACAAACAAAAAGAAAAAAAAAAAAAACAAAAACAACAAATTGAGAGAAAAAGTGGAAAACGGGTGGAAATAGGGGCAGGGGCAAAACAAACGAAACAGTCGAAAGGCAGATGAGAGAAGCGCAGCAAGCCGAAACGAACACTTTCAGCGAGGTTGCGTGGAACTGTAGGAGAGCAACAAAAAGGGGGCTGGTGGCTGGGCAAGGGGCTTGTGGGTGGTGGTGGTAGGTCAGTGTGCAGCCCCCGAGGACACAGTTGCAAGCGAATTTATGCGCTTTGTTAAACAGCAACAGCAGCCAAAACAAAATAAAAATATGGCAACAGCAGAGGAAACGAGCAACAAGCCTCAGTTCAAAGATGAACGATTATTAAATACCCTGTAAGCTGCTTCTTGCTGCCATATTAGCATGCATGTGCTGCTATACATACTTACAATAATACACAGGCTCACATACATTCACATACACACACGTTGCCAGGCACATACTTCACCTTACATCTGCATATTATTAAATTATTTATTCTTCAATAACTTCTAAACTTAAAGTCTGATCATTATGATATTTCCAGATAATTCCATCCAAACCTTACAATCTCCTAAATATGTACCTAAAGCCGTAGCTGCAAATCGATGCTTATCGAATTCAGGAAAATTGGAGAAATTTTGCTATAGCTTAGTTCAGATTGAGTCTGATCTGAATGAATAAATTCGCATAAGCTACTTACGTTTACGTATATCATTCCAATGTGTACAGGGTATGAATAGCTAAAGCAATCCGCGTGCGCTGGCCCGCAGTAGCAGCAGAAGGCGGTCGATGTGGGCGTGCCCGGGCGTGCATAAATAAGGCAAGCGGACTCAACTCCCGCCATCAACCACTCGCCATGCAATACAAATGAAAATCGTGTTTACGTTGGGTGTAAAGTGGCATATGTAGTGGTGCAGCGGTGCAGTGGTGCTGCAGTGGCAAGCGGCAACCGGTAACCGAGGACCGGCAACGGGCAACATTTACGTCCTTGCTGCTGGTGATTTACAACAAAACAAATATGCTGGCCAAGTCGGAGACGGAGTTGGAGCCGAAGCAGGGGCAACAGCAGCAGCTCACCTTGCCAGGCACGCGACTCACCCCCGTGAGAAGCTCTCCTGCAACTGGCGCACGGCACTTCACTGTGGACTGACTGATTTACAAGGCAGCTAGCCGAGATTGGATGGCGCTGTGTAAATAAAATAGGAGACGGCGCTGCGTCCAAATGCAATTTTCGTATTTCGCATTTTTGAAAAATAATTAAACTTAAAGGATCTGCAACAAGGGCAGCCTAAGAGTGCCCCTTGTCGACAAAGTTGCCATTGGCTGCTGCAGTTAATTGCAAAGTTTGCTTTTAGCGGCAGGTGTCAAGGCTGCAACAGCAGCAACGGCATGCAACAGCAGCAACATCTGCTGCGGGGTCAATTCGGATAGGCATATAGCCCCAAAGCGGAAAAGCTGGCTGGCGTGTTGCATATTTTCGATAAGATTTGGTTGTTTTTTTTTCTATACCCTGTAAAGATGAAGGGTTAAGATGGGGTATACGATAGTCTTAACGGAGGCTTCCATTATACGAAGAACTGTTTTACATAAAGTAGCTTGAAAGACTTAAACTGTTTAAACTGATGCTACTGGCAGGGGTATAGGGTATGTTGTAGTCGAGCATGTTCGGCTGCAGGATTTTTTACTTGTTCTTGTTTGTTTTTTAAATAGCTCGCTGCGAGTTGGGGCTGTGCACATTTATCAACGGAAATCATAAATAAAATTCTCTGCATATTTCATGAGATGCCATTGCCAGTTTATCCGTTGGGTATATTGTCTGTATGGCTTGTACGAGACGGAAAGCTAATCAAATAGACTGAACATCTGAGCTATCAATGTAATCAACGCAAGACCTGTCAGTTGGCATAAAAAAATCCCGAACCCGGAATATCAAGAAAGCACTTGCTGAGAGTTCGACTGAACCTAACTTGTAAGTTCGAGGAGATATAAAAACGGTTATAAACGACAATGAACAGCAAGGTTGGTTTGAAGATAGTCTAAGGTACAGTTTATCTTAAAGTTCAGCTCTTTCTCTAACTCACTTGTAGAATATAAGGACTGACTTGATAAGTTACAATTAAAGAGATAGGCAAAGGGCAAAGGCGAATTCAAATGCTTTGGGAGTATCTTTTAGTCTGTCATGCACCTTCACCTGAAAATTCGTGAGACTGTTGCAGTCAAGAGGGAAACAAAAAAAAACCGCGCACACATGTCTCGTATGTATATTTTTTTAATCTTTTTAATTTACAATCACGCTCATTGCGAATTTTAATTGTTGCATAAACGAAGCGGACATGGGGAGGGACAACGGGACAAGGACAACAATGCAGTTGCACAGTAGGGCTCCATATGCTCTCTTTGATTATCGGCTGAAATCTGAACGAGGCTGAATTAAGGGACAGCTGCGGAATCAGATCCGGAAATACGGCACATATCAAGTTCAGCGGAAATGTTTTTTATTTACGGCGCCCATAAATTTTTGGGCAAAGCCCAACGTTTCCAGAACCAAAACTTTTTCTTTTAATTAAATTTATTTTATATTAATTGTTCAATTAAAAGTCATTTGTTTTAGCTTAAAGCAGTCTTCCACCCAGAGAGTAAATTGCAAGAAAAGAGTGAAATCCGTTTTATTTTAGTTTTCATTAAAATATTTATGGCCGATTGCACAGACTAACTTGAACCCTTTTAACTCTGAGATCTAGAGTTTTGTAGTTTTTAAAAAATTTTCAAAGCTTTTGGCAATTTATTTACAATCGGTTAATCAATCATCAATTATCATCGATAAAGGCAGCATTATGTACGATGGGTTTGAGATGGAAATGTGTAGCATGATTTCTCTAGATTTTACTAGATGAAAATAAGCTTAATAGCGCGACGTTAAAAGTTTAATAAATAAATGAATCCCCATGGAACAATAGCATATCGAGTTAAACATGTGAATTTGAATCGATTTTAGTGTGGCGTGGGGGGTGGGTTGGGGGTGCAGAAGTTGGATTCTTTCGATTGTCAGCAGTCAATCTGTTGCCTAGTTGTATGAGGAATTTAATATGCAGATTGATGTGGGAATGAAATACGTGAGCTAAGCGTGTGGCAATGGGACTTGGCACTCATGGGTGTGGGTGTGCATTATTTTATTGTGCGTAAAATCAAAGCAGCTCATTGTTTGCGTCATCCTTTCATAGCCTAGCTGTAATTTTCTGGCAAAATGCAGGACTGACAGAGCGGGCCATTACTCATGCGCAGTCAGGCGGGCGCCAGGAGGCGCCTCCACGCGACAGCTGGATACCTCCAATGGTTGGCCAAATGCACGTCGTGGGTGCGCTTTACGCTTGGCATGTGCCACAAGCATGCCACATGCAACCCATGCAGCCGCCCCTTTCGTTTTCTTGGCCCAAAATTTATGTTTTCCTGCTATAAGTGGCACCGCGTGGCGACGCATCGCCTCATCCGGACTGGATGTGGTCAATGTGCTTGACAAATTGCTTATTGTTATGACACTCCATTGATATATCACAGCTTCGACTACAGATGCAGCCACAGCGCTCAGTGTGTTGGTGCCTGCGCTGGCTTAATAAGTCGCCTCATTATTTTCATTTCCAATTTCTTTTTTCTTTATTTCGCCCGGCGGGCTTCTACGTGCGGGCACTTCACAAAAAACGGAAACGTCGCCCAAATGCGGCCTCGTTAATTGTTTTGATTAATGAACGAGCGACCTGACCTCACGTGCCTGCCGAGGCCGAAGTGGAGCGGGCGGCGGGAAACCGGCAGCGGCGCTTGCCGCTTGGCGTGGCACGCTCTGACATCGTTTCAATTTGCAGTTGCATGCAATTGCACTGTGCAACGCGACCAGCACTCAACCCCTTTAGCCCTGGCAGCTCGTTGGGGTTACTGTTTATTCGATTATGTCGTGTGCCGCATTTTCTTAATTTGCAGTTTTTGGCCATGCCACGCCCCTGTCGCCTAGCATCTACACGCCCAAGCACTCTTTGTACCTTTTTCATTAAGTGGAAAAAGAGTATATTGGTGTGCTGCACTTTCCTTAAAATAACATACTAAATACTTATATAACAAATATTAAATACTTAAATATACATATCAGACAATGGTTGGCCACGCCCACAAATTGACTGGCTAACTGTGAAAATCTATATCTTTCACAATTTTAAAGGCTTAGCACTTAGACCTTCAAATTTATAGCTTAACAACCATAGCTTTGTTCTTATAGTCTCAGATCCGCAAAGTCAATAATACTGATAATAATAGTGAATGGTCTCGCTTCCAACGTCTGCCATAAAACTGGGAATAGAGTATTTTTCAGTCGATTGAAGCCAACAGAAACGATTTCTCTTTTTATTTACTTCTTGCATTTTCTTTATTTATTTTTTAATTAATTTAATGCGCCAGTTTTGCGCTGCTGTTCGTCGGCCAAAGCGGGAAGCAAGGGGGCGCCTCGCCTTTGCTTGCGTGCATCGCTACGGCACACGCACACACACATACACACACATGCACACACACACTGTGTAATTAGAAAATTGTTGCACTTTGTTTACATTTTTTTTCGGTGGACATTTTGATGGCGAAGTCGACAATTTTTGATAGCCGCTAAATTGAGCCATTTGCAGGCTGAAGTTCGAGTGGACTCCAACTTGGAGTTGGCCGGAATGCAGGCAAATTAAAGCCAAGTGCGCTTAACGGCAGCAAATCCTGTGCGACGGCAATAATCTAAAGGAACCCAAGTCCGGCAGCGAGGCGGAGGGATCTTAATGCCACTTCAGCTGGCAGCTGCCTGACAGCGTTCAGATACGGACAAGCCAGGCCACGACAACAACAACAACAACAACAACAACAACAACAGCAACAACAAGAACAACAACAACGGCAAGGACAACGTCCTGGACGACAACAACGTTGTTGCATGCATGTCCTGCGAGGAAAAACCAAACCCAAGAAGTGCTTGACAGGCATTCAGAGGCAGGCCGGCAGTCGGGCCAGTTGGCTGAATGACCTGAGGGCAGGCAGTGGACGAGTGTGGAGAGAGGCAGCATTGCTAAGTAAGCGCTGCTGGATGTGCACTAATTGTGGCCAACATGTTAAAATGAAATGGATTTTCATTCAACAATTGGCTTACAGTCACACACTCACACACACACACACACCCATACAAATTCGCTGAGCTGTAAACAAAAGCCCAGCCAGAACTGGGCAGTTAGTACACTCAGAAAAAAAAATAGTTTAAAATTGGTTTCAAGTAATTTTCCCTATTTAAAAAATCTATAAATTATTTTAAATTTTTCTGAAATATGTCTGAAAAGTAAGAACTTTGTTGAAAATTGAAAAAATTTGATATTAAAAATATAAAAACAGCTGAAAATAAGAATTTATTTTTAATATAAGAAACATTTTCTGAGTAAAATATTTGTAATTGGAAAAATTGTTGTCGTGAGGAAGATTATAATTGTTGCGGTTCGTTAATCTACTCATCATTTCTATACGAATTTTTTGGTTTTAGTTAGATCCAGGTCTCAAATTCATTACGTAATATAATAATAATTATTATTGTGAAACAATTTTTAAACTGAATATATTTGTAATTTTATTGCAATTTTCCAAAATTTGGGGAGCACTTTGGTTTTTATTTTCTTTTAGTGTGGGAGTTGTGAATCAGCAAAGGGCGACTGAACTTATGATGGATTATGGTAACGTTATCGTGTTGGTCCTGCTGCTAAACGAGCATTGTTAGTAGACCCGAGCAGAGCAGAGCCGTAGCAGCATTCCAGTGTTGGCCATAATGCGAGCACTGTGCATAATAATGGGATTGCCAGCTGACAAAGCCCACAGCATGGAGCCAACACCCACAGCCGGAGACCATGACCAGATGGTAACCCCATTGCCAGCTACACAAAGCAGCTGAAGCAATCAAAACACATGCATTAACTCATTGGAAAAGGGGCACCCAAAAACTGACGGTGCTCGAGCGCAGGCTCTGTACCAGGCACTGCCAGCAGCCGGAAGGCAAACATATGCTAAGGTGAACGTGAACGCAGGGCTCTTGTACCCTGTATGCATTGGAAGTGGCTAACACAGAGGGTTATAAAGTCATATGCAACATAAATAATATAAATTCTAGATCAGTCGATATACCCATGTCCGGTTTTTCGTCTTTTCAGAATTTCCGTATGGCATATCATGTCCTATTTTATAAGAATCGAGAAATATCAATTTTATACCGAAACTACGTTGAGCAAATCTTTGATGTTTGAAAATCCTGAGATTGCACGCTCTGAATATAGGTTCGAATAAATTGAATCTTGTCATCCCGACTAATAATAATAATATATATTTTTACTTGATACTTCCTTTAGATCTCCCATATTGGGGACACTACAAAATTTTGGGCTTTGGTATGCGCACGCATATACGTTTTAGCTTTAAGCCCCGAAAGTTGCAAAACAATTGGAAAATTAACATAAGAGTTTGATTAGCATAACTATTCCATAAAGTAGGTCGATTGGAAAAGACGAAGCACAGCCACTGGCTAAGTTGCGGGTTAAGAACATTTTCCAGCAACTCTCAGCTGTGTAGAGGGTATCACTCAGTCGCACACACGCCACTAGCTGACACTCACTTGTTTTCGGCTGTAGGTGCGTGTGTGTGGGGGTGCACAAGTTGTGGCTATGCTGTGGCTGGCACTTGGCGGCAATGATAACAAGCAACAAGTGCAGTGAGTAACCGGCGGGCAGAACAAGCACAGCAACGATAGCGAGTTGTGTAGCCAAAATGGGGGCGGGTCGTAAGTAATGGGCGGTGCGGGAACGAGGTGTATCAAGTCAAATGCTGGCCACAAGAAACGGGCAGCAAAACGTTGTGGGATATGTTGACATGGAGAAACATGAGAGAAATCAAACTGAAAATAGAATTATGTAGATTACGTTATTGTACAAGAGAAACTCTTGTTGCGCACACACCCGTACACATTCACACACACTCTCGAGAAACACTGGAGAGTTTAGCGAAAAATGCGCAACAATGTGCATTCAAATCGAACAATTGGCAAATGGAGCACAGAGTGGGCGATTTATGGTGTGTGGCATGTGGCATGTGGCATGTGGCATGTAGCAGTCGAAAATGACAACTTCGTTGACGCTGCCTTGAGTGCTCGGGGTCAGCAGACAGACTGATTTAAAAAATCAAACAGGAAAACATATCCTATAAAAAAAAATAAATAAATAAAACACACATGGACGACATGTCCAGGGCAGTCCGGAGCTGCTTCAATTGCGGACATGCCACAACTCGCAAGGATGCTTACATGTAAAATCACTGAAAAATTCTGTAGCAACAGAGCCGAGTGCCCAGCGGGACAGTTGGCTTCGGGAGTGGCGCGGGAGGCGGAAGCTAGTGTGAGGTGCGCAAACCTAACCGTCGAATGAATGAACAGGGAAAACAGAATTTCGCAAAAACAACAACACACAAACAATTGAAGAATAAAAGTAATACAAAGAATATATAGCGGTGATGTGCGCGACTCATGGATACCCCGTATCCGGCTTCGCGTTGCCAAAACAAGCAGTTGCACTT